GAAAATTAATAGGCTAAGCATTCACCCAAGGCATCATGAAAGTTGGAGGAAATAATGAACAGGTAAGCTGCCTGTGGAGGGCAGTCACCCTGGCCCCAGGGTGTCTGGAGGGCAGAAGGGCACCCAGCACCTGCTGGTCTGTGTAGGTGCGATGCAATAACAGGCCTGGAGGGCAGCTCATTGCTGCTGACAGTCTTATTCAAAAGGCGTGGGTTAAGCTGTTCATGAACCCAAAGGACCGTCCCAATGGCCCCCACAGGCTTGTTCTGGCACTGCTTCCCACACGGTTTTCTAAAGTCGAGTCACAATTGAGATGAGCTCGTAGGTGCCACCCACCCCCACTTGCGGACAGCAAGTTCTGTGGGCGAATTTTGCAGGTGGCCTCTTCTCTCCATCCCCCAACCTCGTCCCTCCTGGTCGGATGCTGTGACGTGTCATATCTGTAGTCTGTCCAGGGGCATGGGCTTCTTCAGGCAGGAAGACCACAAGCGCCCTCAGGTCATGTGACCGGGTGGGTCGTGTGAGCACCCAGCGCTCTGTCTGAACATGCACCTGGGTGCCTGCAGGAGACCGCATCCTCTCTGAAGACCCAGCTGCAGTGGACGGGCGCAGGCCAGGAGTCCCATATCAGCGTGACCAGCCCAGCTGCCGACACGTGGCTGGCCTGCCCGCCTCACAGTCACAACTGTGTCCCGACACCACCTGCCCTGTGACCTCCTGGGCAGCGGGCCACAGGCAGGATGACCATGTGATAAAGTTCTTCATGAACTGAAAACAGAAGTCAGGCACTGCTGTTCACGCTTATCTCAACCGCTGCGAGGAAATCAGCCTGAAGCCTGGGTATCCATGCAATTTCTGCCCGTACAGATTGTGCCTGAATGTCTCAGAGACATTTTCTGGACTTGCTTACATCACCCAGATATTAATATTTCTTCAGAACTGGAAACATGCATTTACGTTTGGCTATGTCATGATTAAACTTTTTGTAAATTTTAAATTATTTTTAAATTAGCACATTGCCTATTTTTTTTAAATTTGGAAATAGAAGGAAAATAAAAGGCCAAAATCTCAACATTAAAGACAACCACAGTAACATTTTATTCATTATTCTTCAGTTCTTTTCTGGATTATTTTTTTTTTCCTGTTTACATTTTCATAAGTAGTTTAAATTGGATTTTTGGAAGCTGGTGGTAAGCCCTAAGTACAGGAGAGAATTTTTCCCAGAGAAACTGCTGTGTTATGGGTTTATTCCCATCACAAGCAAAAGCATTCATATTAAAATAATTTGCTATTATGCTCTATCCAGCTGTTGTAGAGGAGAGGCAGTGACCCCTAGCATTCTCAGGAGCTCCTTGGGGTTTCCTCTGCTTTGACTCTTGATCTAAATTACTTATTCTTCTAGTGATTTTTAAAGAAAAAGTACAAAGCTGGAAAGTTTCCAGAGCCTGTGTGTATCTGACAATGCCATTCTGCATCTTAGCCTTTGCCTCTCAAAACTTTTCACTGTCCTTCAGCTTTTCACAGTGATGAACCATTGACTTATGGGAACACAGTGAGTTTTGTTCCTTTATGTGTAAGCCCATTGTTTCTCGCTGGACAGTTTTTAGCACCTAGTCCCTAGTGTTCTGAAGAGTATCACTGGTAGGTCCTCCAACAAAGGTGGGTGCTGTCATCATACATTCAGGAAACGTGTTGTGGATGCGGGCCTGCCGCTGAGACGGTGAAACTCACAGCTCACTTGTATTTCCCAAATGTATAGAACAGAGGACCCTTCCAAGTTTGTGGAACACTAATAACTCCTGGGAAATGTCCCACTGGAGGTCAGTTGGCTTATAATCTCAATTATATTTAAGTTATCAAAAGAAAAGGCAGATTTTGTCTCGTTGGGGCCTCTCTCCACTGTTTTGCTTTGATCTGGAATGCAGGATTTGCTTCTCTCTCTGTTTGCATTTGTTTAGCTTTAAAAAATTGTGACAAAACATACACAACAAAAATTTTACTGTTTAAGCCATTTCTGATTGCATAGTTCAGTGGAATTCAGCACATTACATTGTTGGGTGGCCAGAAGGGACTCCCTCTTAAATTACACATTCTTTTTTTTTTTTTAATCTTAGAAGAGTTTCCTTAAATTCACTGAAGGGCATGTCTTCAGCAGAGCTCCCGCGACGTGCTGGTCACTGTCCTGAGCTCTGGGAACACAGGAGGACACGAGAACTGGGGCTCGGTGATTGCTTCTGTCCCAGCCGTCCTGGCTCCACCCGGAACCCTGGCTGCTCCCTGGCTCCTGGCTCTCACAGCGTGTCTGCACTTAGCCCACACTCAGAGCGCTCTTCATCTCTCCTTGGCAGTTCTGCTCCTGTCTGCTCTGATAATGTTTGAAATCAGTGCACCATAATCTGTTTCTCTGCTTTTCTTTCTTCTTTTTTCAGCTTCTCTTATTTTTAAATTTCTGCTTGTTCTTTCTTGATGGCTTTCAGCTTCATAAATACCGTGTTTTCTCAAGTCTAAGAGTAGCTGAGATGTTTTCTGCAGTGTGCCTTAGCTCCTTTAAAAACAATGTCCAGCACTGTTATATTTAAAATGAGTAACGAACAAGGACCTACTCTAGAGCAACAGGGACCTCTGCTCAATGTCACACGGCAGCCTGGATGGCAGGGGAGGCTGGGGGAGAACAGATACATGTGTAAGTGTGGCTGGTCCCTTCGCTGATCACCTGAAACTACCACAACATTGTTGGCTGGCTAGACCTCAACACAAAATAAAAAGTTTAAAAACAAAACAACGTTCCAAGTTGGGCTCTTCCGGCATCTTTCAGGTGACCTTCCCTTCCTTTCTCTAAGGCTCCCTGTGATTTCCTGTGCCGCTCGCTCACCCTCCACTGAAAAGGGAGGAGAAAGGCTCAGGGCCTCGGTGCCGGGAACACCTGGGGCTGCCAAAGCTCCTCTTCAAACTTACCTGTAACTGAGAGCAGGTTGGCGTCAGCATCTCCAGGTCTGTTTCCCAGGCGAGAGCCAGCGTTTGTGTCAGGCAAGTATGTCCCTTCCCCGGCTCAGAGACCATGGGCAGGGAGGGGGTACCCAGGTCTGCCCATGGCCCGCATCCCCCCTCAGCTCCCACGGGAGGGGGGGCAGGGGCACGGCTGCAGGGCCGCCCTCCTTCCTGCCCAAGGGTCCTCTGGATGTTGGGGTTTCCGCGTGTTCACAGACAGAGAAATTCAACAGGGGAGGAGCTGGGAGAGGATGAAGGCAGAAGGGCCACAGGTGGTTTGCAGGGTGCTGCTCCTGGGCTGGGGCGCAGTGTGTTAGCCGTGTGAGACCTCAGGTGTGTTAGCCGTGTGAAACCTCAGGTGTGTTAGCCGTGTGAGACCTCAGGTGTGTTAGCCGTGTGAGACCTCAGGTGTGTATCCGTGTGAGACCTCAGGTGTGTAGCCGTGTGAGACCTCAGGTGTGTAGCCGTGTGAGACCTCAGGAGCCCCCCACCCCAGCATCCAGGTGGACCTGCATGGTGGGGGGGGGGAATCACTGACGTTTCTCCATGCGGCTCATCTGTTTCTAGCCTGGAGAAGGTTGGACATGTGTCCTAGTTTGGGGGATTTTTAACCTTGCCTTTTTGCTTTGTCAATGGTCTTTCAGTGAGAAGCTGGAAGAGGCCACTAGCAGGTGTCATTTTAAACTAAAGCCTGTAATTAAATCCTTGACTTAGAAGGTGGGAACAACTTATTCAGTACTGTTCTACAGTCCCTTCAGCCGGAACCCCACCTCCACATCCCCAGGTCTCTGCTTCTAGACTTGGCTGGGTGGTCAGACCTGCTCCTTGGCTTAGGTCTCCAGAAGCCATCAGCAAACACACCCCCATGTGCTGTAGCTGCCGCATTCCTCCCTTTGCTTGCAACTTTGTGGAACGTGCCTCACTGACTGTAACTGTTACCACAGCCAGTGTATTCTGACAGATGCCTAGCCTTTAAAAAAACCTCGCGGTTTCCTTAAATCAGTTCAGTTACTTACTGTTGGCCGACTCTGAAATCCCCAGCATCCACCGGGCAGTTGGATTTCTTCCATTATGCTAATTACCCTTGTAGCATGTAATTCCGCTCGCGTGCTCTCTTAGCTTCTCGTCTTGGACTTTCATTATAATTTCTTTGCTTTAAAACGAGTGTGATGCCGCAGCGAGTCAACATTCCTCTCACCATGTGCTCTGTAAGAGGTGTGTGTGTGTGTGGTGGGCGTGCGAGCCAGTACTGAAGTGGCACGGTCAGCACACACAGGTTAGTAGGAAGCTCAAGAGACAGTGCCGTCCTGCCTACAATGGTGACGTGGTACGGCCAAGCTGCCTTTTCAGAGGGCCTATCTTTTCAGTGTGAAGTCATTTTTAAAAATAATAACCTGGTTTTTTTCTAACTAGCTTAAATCAGGCGGACTTGAAAATGGTTCTGGATGCAATTAGATTATGCTGTTTGGACAATAAACTCACCTTGACCTAAAAAAAAATCCTTCCTGTAATTAACACATGGTGATATGGCATGCAGTGATGTTTAGGACAGAGGCAGCGTCTGCATCTCGGTCCCAGGTTCATTGGAGGCTGAACTTGACACACAACTCCCTCATTGTGCTGCAGTTCATTCCGTGTATTCGTCATCAGGTCAGAGGAGCGCCCGTGCGGTCCATCCCTGACCTCACGGAGGAGCCAGGGCAGCCCTCACACGCACTGTGGAGACAACACGTGGTTTCTCCGCCGCCGTAATTGACCGCTCCACTCTCAGCCACCTGTACAGTCGTCTTAAGAAATCACGCAGAATCTGCCAAACAGGCTAAGAGCCAGCATAATTAAAAAAAAAAACATTTATTCCAAGATCCACGGGTTTGAGGCTTTTCACAAGTTATCACAGAAGTGAAGACGGAACTCAGAAACAAGTGTTCGTAGCTGCAACACTTAAAACAGAATCAGCGTCACCATGACCCTGATCTAAAGGACTCAGGTGTCTCCCTCACGTAGAATCCATGAGGAAGGTCTCGAAGTCTAGGTCCAGGTCGGAAACGAGGGTGTTTACAAAGTCGTCAATAGAAGGACACTTCTGAAGCATACCTGCCAACAGAGACAGATGGTCAGCCAGCTTGCCTGGGGACAGCACAGAGCGACAGACGGACAGCACGTCCACATGGTCGGGGATGCTCGGCTTCGTGAGCCGCAAGCTGGGAACAAGGACATTTCAGAGCGTCCAGGCGGTGCCTGGGCTCTGAGCTGTTTCTTGTTTTATTGCCTTTTTTATACTATCTCACCAACACTTAGCTTAGAGATTTAGACCCAAATATGTTTTGGAGATATTACTGTACCCTTGGAGCCCACTTGACCAGCAGTGCAAGGAACCACGCGTCAGGTTTGGGGGCCGGGGGTGCTCCCACCAGGCCACCATCTGCAGTGGAACGTAGAGAGCTTCGGGCAGGCCTAGGGCTGGACCCACAGACACGGTCGTCCCCACTGGGGGACATGGCCACAGGGACTGGCCAAGGCCTGGCTTGTACGGTGGTCATAAAGCAGCAGAGCCAACACGTCCCTGTCAGCCCCCCACTAGACCCCATGTGCTTAGGAACAATATGGATGCCGTCGTGGTCTCGCCACAGCCCAAAATATTTTCATTCTCGTTCAGATCCAGGTCCTCACATCTCCATCACAGGAACCATCTGAGGAGTAAGGTCTGGCTATTGGAGAATTTCGTTGCTGTGTCTTTAATTGCAAAACTAAAGTTCAAAGCAATTTTCTTTTTACAGTAAAATAGTTCCTAGGGATGAGAAAGGCCCTCCAGTCCTCCCGAGTCTCTAGCGATGGGACGTGATGACTCAGACGACGGCCAGGCAGTGCCTTCCACTCCGTGTCTTAGAGATGCAGGCTCTCACGTAAGCAGAGCAGTAAACCCCGTTTGTGCATTTCCTATGGGCCAGGGTTCTTAATGCAGAGAAGAGTTGTGGGGCAAACATTGAAATATGACTTTTGGTCAGATGTGTTATCCTGTCTCACCATTCTCTTTCCTTGTAACATGTGAAACATCCTGTAATTACAAACTGCAAATGACCGCTCGCTTGTAATTAAATGGTTAGAACTGTCAGAAGGTGGGGCCAACCTGTGCAGTGAAGTGTGGCCGCTGGTCCCTTGAAGTGTTCCCATCACCTCCACCAGTTGTTCACGAACACAGGACCCACCACCTCGGGGCCACAACCTCTCCAGGGTCACCTGCAGCCACTTCTGCGTCTCAGAGGACGGCCACCTTGGGGCAAGTGGAGAAACGCACACACGCTCGGGGGAGTTTTAAATAAAACCTGGCCCGAGAGGAGTGGTTGGACTGTCGTGTGTGTGCTGTGACCGGTGAAGACAAAGGTTCAGAGAGGATGAACTAGTTACCAGGGCGGGAATTCTCCTGCCACACGGCTGCAGTGTCCTCGCTTTAATTAGATCTAAGTGTTTGCAAGTGTCAACATGAACTAACAACTTCTACACAGGGAATCAAACACAAAATGTTTTCAGGCAGTTCCACAAATAAGAAAAACTGAATTTAGTGTTCACATATGTAGGGTAAAGATTCCAGCAACACGTGGATTTTTTTAATAAAGCTGGTGAAGATGTTCTGTGTGTCAAGTCTTAGTCTTAAAAGGCTGGTATTGGGATGAGCAGTTTCATAGGCGCCCCCAGAATCCACTGAGGGCCAAGTCCAGAGCGGGTGGAGCTGACACACATTCTTTGGAGGGCAGGGGCGGGGGGTGCAGGGGGCTGAGACTGTAAAACAAAACCGAGGGTAACTTCCCCCTCAGAGGGACACGTGGGTGGTGGTGTAAGACAGACCGGCTGCAGGGAACCCTCAGGGAAGGAGAGTGCCACCTGCTTGTCCTCCGCGAGCCCACAGGGAACAGCCCGTAAAGCAGTTACGATGACGAGTTAATTTATTTTCCTCCTCCTTTTCCCTGGGAGGCGAATGGGCTGATAAAACCTAGGGCAAGCCCGAACGTTTCTGTCTCGACTGCTCTGCTAAACCAGTGTGTTCATGACCTCGGAGGACCGGGTGGCTGTTCCAGGCCTGATGGCAGTGAACTAGGGTCTCCAGGGGTTCCCAGGCAGGCTCCGGGGACCCCACCTGAGCTGGGAGCTGGCCTGTGTGCAGTGCTGTAGCCTGCCGCTTGGGGGCTGCCAGCTGCAGGTTATGTGTGTGCCCGCAGGGGACGCCATCCTGGCCGCCACACTGGGGCATCTGGGCCCCCCAGGTACGGGACTTCCTGCCTTCCTACACCCAGCTTGGTGCCATCCCTGTGCCCCCCGGGGACCCACTCCTGGTCACGATGACGGGAGGCCGGGGACACCAGGGGAGTGAGCCTGGTACAGGCACCCAAGCAGCTCGTCTGCCCCGACACGGAGCCTGGAAGCTGCTTTCTCAGCTGGCTTTTGGTTCTCCCCTTGACTCTGCGGCCGCCTCTGTATGGTTCCCCCAAATTCCTTTCTGCTTGGTCAGCCTGAGTTGGTGGTTTCTTTCAAGAAGATTCCCACCTGATAAAGAGATTCGTTCACAAGTTACTAAAGAGAATTTAATGATACCCGGGAGACACTGATATTTTTGTTTGAGGACCAACTTTCTAGGCCAAGGGTTTGGAGTAAAACCAAGTGCTTTCTGCTCTTTCTTTTCTCATTTAAATGACCACATCGTCCCACAGATATCGGAAACAGGTGACATACAGGCAAGCTTTACTATCAGATCTCTTTAAGGTCACTGGCGGGCAGTGAGAGCTGTCTTGGCCTGAGACAGGGGAGAGTCTGTCTCTGCCCCCAGCCCCACCTGCTGTGGTGGGGGGTGTGCTGGGGGCAGGGCGAGAAGGGGGGGGATGCTCTCTCCGGAGTGCGTGGTTCCTCCTGAAATTGCTTCTTTCCTGGTGGAACTGGAAGGACCTGCCCTTCTGTCTATGGGCCTCGCGGTGTGACGGGCGCTCATGGGCTGCACATGCGCCCAGGAGCCCAGGAGAGGGGTGGATGTGGCCCCCACACCTGCGAGGCCAGACCTTCAACACCTGAGGTGGCTGGGGTGGGTCACCCTCAGTTCTTTCTAAATCAGAGACAGAAGCCAAGCACACTCCTACATTTCAGGCACAGCGCCGGTACTTGGTTCAAATGAAGGTACATCAGCCAGGGTTCTGTGCGAGTTAAGGCCCCCAGGCATCATCTGTTTAGGGACCACAGCCCAGCTCTGAACACCCCAGGGGAGCTGCCGTGGGTGCTGGCGCTGGGCACGTTGGGCTTTCAGGCCAAAGGGAACATTCCCTGGCTCAGCCCAGCATCTTACAACCTCAAATTTCCAGCTGTTCTCTCTGCTGACTGTCCCAAAGTCTCCCTCGGAAGGGTTAGTGAGGAGGAATATAGCAGAAAGATAAATTCCTCCTTTCCTGAACAAGACTGCAAGACTGAAGGTGCCCCTAAAGAGGGCACTGGTGGTTAGAGCCAGGGCTTGGTGAGTAACCCTGGTCAACCACCCGGTTCAGGGCCTTCAGCCCACACTGGACTTCCGAGACTCGCTCCTGCTTGAATCAGCCTGAGCGGAGGCTGACTGGTGAGTGAGGTGTGTGTCTCAGGACCAGAACACCAGCAGGGTGTCGTCTACACAGCTTGACTGCTGTAAGCATTGAATAAGGTGCACTGAACACGTGGGAAAGGCTCTATATCTGGTAACAAGAACCATCAGAGTGAAAGTTCAAGGGCTGAAGGATGAGGTTGCTTATTTTCTTCACAAGTTGAATTTCAAAATGCTGTCTGTGATAAAGTATTTAGGGTTTTATCATCAGACACAATCCTGAGCTGATTATCCAGCTAATGAATCACAGCTTGCTTTGTATTCTCTGGCTTTTCCATCTGCTTTTGATGAGATAACTTTATCTATGGAAAGAAGGAAACAGAAGCGGTAACTAAAATCAACTCATTTTCTACCTGTTAGCAGCTGTGACACAAGGTTTACCAAAGAGACCATGGGGATGGTGGAGGAGTCCTGGAGATGAACAGTTGCGATGGTCACACAGGGCTGAGGGGCACTGCACTGCACATTCACAGTGGTTAAAATGGGACATTTTGTGTCATACACACTTTACCACAGCTTAAACAAGAAGGGACCAGAAGCACCAAGACAGCCTGTGACTGGCCCACACACTTGGCTGCCGTGGCTCCGGCAACACGGGACGCCCCAGACTGTGGGTCATCCATGCGCACCACCCTTGGGCCTGAACACCCATCCCAACAGTTCACGCGATGCGCCAGACCACGGGTCATCCACGCAGACCATGGACCGCCCTCAGGTCTGAACACCCATCCCAACGGTTCATGGGATGTGCCAGACCACGGGTCATCCACGCAGACCGTGGACCGCCTTCAGGTCTGAACACCCATCCCAACGGTTCACGGGATGCGCCAGAACACGGGTCATCCACGCAGACCGTGGACCGCCCTCAGGTCTGAACACCCATCCCAACGGTTCACGGGATGCGCCAGAACACGGGTCATCCACGCAGACTGTGGACCGCCCTCAGGTCTAAATATCCATCCCAATAGTTCATGGCATGTGCCAAAGTGCAGGTCATCCATGCGTACTGCGAACTGCCCTTGGGTCTGAACACCCATCCCAAAGGTTCACAGCCACTTTTCATGCTGAGATAAGGTTATGTGCCAAACTTGGCCAGATCGATGGGAACTGTAGCCCGAGCCGGCCTGGCCGAGTGAAGTGAGCTTTCTGAGGTCGGAGCTCACCCGAGGGCCAGCTCTCCTGGGCCTCAGACGCCGGGCTCCTCTCTCTGTCTTGTTCTGAAGTTTCCTGGGTTCCATGCAGGGCTGCCCACGCTGTTCTCTAAAGGTGGTTCCACTACCTACTGTCGGTCCTGGAAAATGAGGACATTAGCCACAAGGGAAACTCCGTTCCTCCTTTGAACTGAAGACCTCTCCAGCCCCTCGGCTGGGCGGCACCTGTGCTGTTCGGAGCTGGGCTCTGCCCCATGCCTGCCTGTGGGCGGCTGGGCCTGGCATGTCCAGCCAGGTGGGAGCGGACGTGGGAAGTGGAGCTGCGGACGTGTCCTGTTCCTCATTAGTTTATCCCAGTTTCATCGTCGGATTTAACAATTCCGTTTACTGAGTACCTTTCTGGGTTACAAAACATTTTGCCTTTTGAAGTTCCACGTCTTCCTCAAACAAACACACCCACACATCAAACATGTCCACGCCCTCTGAAAAACCAGTGCTTTTACGAAAGGGAGGCCGCAGCCTGGAGCACCCAGGTGCTCCTTCCTGGGAACTGGGGTTCTGCTCACACGACTGTGACTCTGGTTGCCGTTCACCCGTTACTGATGCCGTGCTCGCCCCGAGCTGTTGCATCCTACGTCCGCTTCCCCAACACGCTTCCCTCCCTCACTCCTGTTCTCCGCAAGAGAAGAGGAGGTTCTGCCAGCCAGTGTGTGGTCAGGACCGCAGCCTGCCTCTGAGTGGACACGCGTCCTCACTGAGTGAGGCCTCACTCTGCCACGAAACCACTGCTGTGTGGAAGGCAGAGGTACCATCATCTCCATCCCTGGGACATCCTGCCCAGGGCATTGAGAGCATCGTCTGAGCATCCGGGGATGAGGCGACTCAGCCACCGAGCGTGGTGACAGAGCCGCTGGCAGGTGCGGCACCGACATGCACACAGCTGTGCCCAACACAAGTGCGCCCTGGTCCTCCGGAGAAGTCAGAAACACCAGCAGTCCACACAGCACAGGGGGTGGGGAGCACCTGGGCCTGAACTCTTCTAGTCCTGTCTCCATGGGGCGACCTTAGGCAGGAGGCCACCCGAGCACCCTGGGACTGCAGACACAAGAGGACATGCGCAGCGCACTCAGCACGGGCGGCCCCTGGCCCCCAGCCCCCGGGTCAGCGTGGCTCTCACTGTGCCTCTCTTGCCAGTACCTGTCCCCCTCCTGTCTGTTCAACTCTAGATTCAAAAGCGGCAGAAGTCAGTCTTAATGGCTAACATCCAATGTAAAGTACCTTAGGAAAATCGGGGCATAAGGCTACTGCAACATTTTAGTAAAACGCTCATCCTGAAGGGAAAAGAAAGTGCAGGAAGAAGACAAAAATGTAGGGCTGAAATTATATGGTTATTTTGAGGGTGTGATTTAAGATTTCAAGAATTTTTAAAGTTAAAGCTCCGTTTTGTTTAAACTGGTTGAAGGGAGGATGTGAGTGGAGTTCAGCTGTTGTCCCGACCCTGCCACTAAACACTCAGTACCCTAAGGAGAAGGGCTTACTTAATGTACCCCAACTTGCGTGATGGGGTCGAGTATCTGAGACATGCAGGCTCGGAGATTAAGGAGGGGTTGTCCTGTCTTTCAGACTTTAATGTAAAGATGAACTATTAAATGAGAATATCAGGTTTAGGTACAGTCATCCTTAATCTAGTTTTGTTATTAGTGACATTAAGAGTCTCAAGGGGAGGGTTTCTGTAGAGACAGCCGGAAACAGTCACTAGGAGACACCTTGTAAATGACCTTTCAGGAGCTAACCTGGTTAAACCCAGAGAAATGTCCCTTCTCTGAGCTCTATGGACGTCTCAAGAGCTGGTTAGCAAACATGTTTCCATCCCTCCCATGGAACCCACCCTCGGGCTCTGCGTCACGGGGTGGGGGGGGAAGGGGAAGGGCCTTGGCCTTACCTCTGTGAAGGGGGTCACAGCTCCCAGAGCAAACGCGGGCGTGTTAAGGGGCCACCGTCACCCCGTCACTGTCCCCAGACCTGTCCTGAGCGCGACTCCTTGTGCTGAGTTGTCACGTTGTGACTGTGACCAAGCAGGTCACCTGGAGCCGTGGGGGCAGGAGCCTGGCTGCCCGGGGGAGGGCAGGGGCTGGACCTGTGACTGCAGGGAGCGTGCCGTGGACATGTCCACTCGCTGGGGCCTGAACACACGTGGCGTGCGATGCAAAGTGCGGTCAGCATAGTACAGGTCAAACTCTGCTTAGAAGTTACCTTCCCCAGTGGCTTTTCTTCATTGCTAGCAAAATGTATGTTGGTTGAATTTATTCACTGGAACACCGACACCGTCGATAATAGGAAAACGCAAGGACCATGAAGGCTCCAGGGCCACATTTACAGACGGAAAGACCTGTCCCTTCCTGGGAAAGCGACTCCTCCTACCTGGGTGAAGCTGTCACCCACACCCCAGGTCTAGGAAACACCCATCCGTTTCTGGCCTGTGTCTGCGGTTATCTGACTGCTCTGTCAACAAGTCCTGGAATCCCACAATCCGTTTGTTTAGAAGAATGAAAAGCTGCACTCTTTCCAGGAGGGCATCTTCTCTTCTTGGTTTATCCTGTGTTGGCAACACTGACCTTGTCTTCACTTTTAGCTCTCTGCATCTCTGTTCACTGAAGGTTTGACCTGTGCTGTTTATAAGCAGAGGATGTGATGAGATCTTGGAAGGGGGTGCTGTACAGAATGCTGTCTGCCTCCAGGACAGCTGATGGACTGGACACACCCGGGGACGGCGGGGTGGGGGACATGGCTGCAGACTCGGGTCTGATGCCTGCTAATGGGACGGACGTGTCCCGAGCCTCCTTACCCCTCGGCAGGCGGCCTGCCCTGCAGGCCTAGGTCTCTCTAACTCTTCTGTTATCTGTGTCTGTTGTGCTGACCGCGTGATGTCTGTCATCTCCTCTCCCAGATCCTTCTGTGCTCCTCTGTATCACTCCGTCTGCTACTCATTCCTTCCAATGTTTTTTAATTTCAGTTACTCAATTTCTTCATTTCTGATTGGGTCTTTTTCACATTTTCTAGTTCCTTATTAAAATTCTCACTGTGCTCGTGTATTCTTTTCTCTATTTCAGTTAATATTTTTATTACCAACCTTTCAATTCTTTATCTGATACATTTTTAATTTGTTGCTTATTTTTTAGGTTTTTTTCTTGCTTTTTAACTGAGAGCACGTCCTCTGCCTCTGTGAATTCAGGTGAAACAGGACCTGGGGTGAAGGGTTATTGTCACGAGGGTGCATTCCTACACAGACCGTGGAGTCTGACACCTTTATGGGGAGAGCTGGCTCTGACCCGGACACGCGTTGTACGTTTGCTCAGGGTGAGCTGGAAGCTGTTGCTGTGGTGAGGCAGGTGAAGTAAGGCTTCCTTTCTGCTCAGTGGCCGTTACTGCTCTACTAGGGGGTGGGGCCTGACCCCCAGGATGCTGGCAGAGGAGCCCCGAGATCAGGCCTGGGCCCTCTCTGCTCCAGGGTGCTTCCCCTTCTCCCTGCACAGGACCCGCTGCGGAGGCCGGGGCTGGAGCCGAGGTGCCCGCAGGCGCTGCCCTGGCTGACGCGGCCGCGGGTGCAGGCCTCTCTGTCCCTCACAGCCTGTCCCTGTCCTGTCGTGGGGCTGTGCCTTGTGGCCTCCTTGTGCCCTGGATGGCGGGGCCTGCTTCCCAAGGCGTGGTGGTCTCTGTCTCCCCGAGTCCCCTCCCAGGGTGCAGACCTGAGCTCTGTGCTCACTCCCTCGGCTGTGCCTGTACATGAGTCCTGCTGCCAGTTTCTGGTTAGTTTCCAGTGAGAATCGCGGCACGTGTGCGTGGATTTTTGATGCATTCTTGGGGAAGGTGAATCCCATGCCCTCCTCTACTTCAACATCTTGTTGGACCCCTCACAATCACGTTTTTAACGGCCTGAGAAACATCGGACCTTCTAGGCAAACACATAAAGTGCGTTCGCGTAACAGAGCCTGCGGGCGGACCCTCTGCGGGGCCGGCACGGTGGGGCCCAGCCGCTGCCACCTCCTCTGAGAGTCGAGACTCTGCTCGGGGCCCTGACTGACCACCTGGGAACAAGGACCCAGGAGGTGGTCCGTCACCTCACATCGCCCCAGAGGTTGGGATTAACACGACTCGCTGGTGCTGACCATGAACACCAGGCAGGCAGTGCTTCCCCCTTCCTTCCAGAGCACAGGGCGGAAAGGCGGGTCACAGTGTGGCCCACACTCGGGGCACACAGTGCCCTGTGCCTCGAGGGGGGCACAGCTGCAGCACACACCTGAGTTCTCCCGCACGAGAGGTCCGTCCTGTTTGTTTATTCAGTCACTCCTGTCAGGGCGCGCTCAGGCTGTATACTTTGTATGTGTTAGGTCCCAATGCTGCCTTATTTACTTTTTTGCTCAAATTGTTGACATTTTGGCCACTGTGCGTTGTTAGGAGCCGGGCACCCCTGACACACACACACACCAGGCCATGTGTGTTCCTGAGCACATGGTCCTCTCCCGGGAGGGTGCCCCCAGCCAGCCCTGCCCCGGGGAGCCCCGGGCCCTCCAGCAGGGAGGGCGTCAGCCCTTCTCCCCAGAGGAAGGTGTCGGACCAAGCTCGAGTGCTCCCTCGAGGAGGGAGGCTTCTATGGGAAAGCGAAGTTCTCTTTACACACAGGGACAAGGGTAGCCCTCTGGAATATACAAACCACAAATTCTGACTTGTTTCTTGAGTAAAAATAATATGCAACAAGTTAGAAGAGATGATATAGGATAATCAGGGCAAAAATGAATGTGTTTTGAAAACCACAGAGCTCGGCAGAAATGTAAGGTATGATGATTTTAATCAGCTTATGGAGAGGCCCTGTGGGCTTCTAGACTTGGGTTCCGTGAGTCAGTCTGGCAAGACAGAAAAACTGAAGGGAGTTTCACTGAGAACTGACTCATTTATCTACATTTCTTTTCATCTTATCTGATGTTTGGTGCTTTTTAAAACTCTGTCAAGTTATAACATCCTCTGTCTATGGGCACACTGCTTTTGGCCAGAAGTCATAAAGCTAAGAGTTTCTTTTCTGGAAAGGGGAACAGGAATAAAGCTGTTTAACTTTTAAAAATAACCACTTGAAAGACTAAACTCTTGGGCTTTGCCCTTTGCTTTCCGCACAGAACTCTCTGTGCGGAGGCTGCAGGGGCACCGGGACCCACAACCAGCGGTGGAAACGTGAGACCCAGCGGGCAGGGCACAAACATGGCTGCGGTCAGCCTCGTCCGGGGGCCAGCATGCCGGAGCGTGCCCGCACTCGAGGGGGACGGCTCTGCCACGGAGTCAAGGAGCTCACGGGGACACACGGGACAGAGAAGCTCACAGCTGGTTGGGGGTGTCAGGCAGGCCTCACCAAAGGGAATAGTTAGGATGTGGCATTAAACACACAGACTCTGGGGAATCACTGAGGCCTCCAGGCTCAGGCCACTGACATCCTCACAAGTCTAAGACCCATCCAGACTCAAGTCAGACGTTACAGATGAGCTGAGAAAGATGTGTGAGGGGCATGAGCCTCAGGGTCCATGGGGATGGGGGGCAGGACCGAGGTCACAGGGTTCAGTGAGCAGCAGGGCAGGAGGCACGGGAAGGGGAGGTGTTTCAACGTGTTGGGTTTTTCTGGTCATTTAAAGATAAAATCTGAACCTAGGAACAAAACAAGGGCCACTTACTCAAGACCTCTGGATAACATGGAAGAAAGATAAAGTGGGCTGCGAGGGATGGCAGACCCTCCTGTGAGAAATTCACCTCTCTTCTCAAGAGTGCGAGACAGTACCACTCCGACCCCACCAGCCTTCTCGGGGCACCAGGTGTCACCTCACTTGCATGCTTATCTTCTTCCTAGAGAACCGTTCAGTTTCTGAAGAGCGTGTGAGAGAAACTGTTCACCACAGCACACCTAAAGTTTTCTAGTACGTTTTTGAACATGACAAATGAATATGGCATATATCATCATGGTTTAAGCAAAAAGTAATGTGATGCTTAAACCAGAGAACACTGCGGGGTATGGAATGTGCAAAGACTGCAACTTACCCCAGAATCCTTGGATTTGGTCAGGTGTTGCCATCCTGTGTTTAGTGGAGGATTAAGTAACTAAATATTTTGCTTAAAACATCCTTATATGAGCTATGGATGTGTTTAAAACGAGATAAGGACATAATTTCGATTTGAAGATTAGAAAGAAGTGTTTTTTTCCCCCGCCTGCATGCAGCATCATTTTTTTATGGTTGTGTGAATGTTTTAGATTGTAATTTAAAGGGAGAAACTGAGTATAAGTAAAAGGTGTAATTCATGTCATGGCAATAATATTCAGAGAGAGCTTGCTGGGACTCTAAAAGTGTTAATGGGTGCCTTAGTGCCAAATATTTGATAGCATCAACAAAGCATCTGATAACTATGACAGTCATGGGCTTCACAGACAACCAACCCTGTTTCTTTTTAATTGGAGTTTAATTGCTTTATAATGCTGTGTTAGTTTCTGCTGTACCACAGTGTCGGTCGGCTCTAAGTATACATATGTCCCTTCCCTCTGAAGGCTCCCTCCACCCCTTCCATCCCCCCCCAGGTCATCACACAGCGCCGAGCTGAGCTCCCCATGTATGCAGCCGCTTCCCACTCGCTAGCTGTCTCATACAGCGTGTGTGTGTGTGTGTGTGTGTGTGTGTGTGTGTGCGATGTCACCCTCTCAATTCGTCCCCCTCGCAGTCCCCCACTGTGTTCACAAGTCCATTCTCTAAGTCTGCGCGTCTATTTCTTGCCCTGCAAATAAACTACACTTTGTTTCCCTTAGGGAAACTGACTATCTCGAGTGATTTAGTAAAGCACTAGAGTTGCTACCTGCAGACCCAATTCTGTTTTACTGTGTAAGGACTATCTCCCCCTTTGCGGAAGGAAATGGCTTTTTAACTACGATTTTGTTTTATTCAAGTGGCGTTTAGAGTTTTGAGAGGGATTCTGTGGGTTTACCCTGAGGTTCCTGGGCAGAGTTAGGAGAGAAGCCCGCATGTGTGGGCATCCATGCAGACCCTGCCCACCGAGTGAGGAACCTTAAAGCTCACCTGTGCCGTGTTCGTCACTCAGATCCCAAGCACAATGCAGGGAGTCCTGACTGATGAGTGGCTTGAGGCTCCTCTGAAATGCTCACTCTTAAGTCAGGAGGTTAAGCAGTTGTTATTTGGTTACAGAGGTACACAACTTGAGAGTAAGGGCTCTGTTTCTTTACCTCCCGCTAATTAATAGAACCTTTTACATGTCCCTAGTAAGCAGTTAGACTAGATGAAGCACCTACGTTTTCATAGAAGAATAAGACCAGCTAGATTGAGCTGTCCCTCCAACTCTGACTTGTCCATCACTGCCCAAGGCCGTGAGCCACAGTCCAGGACAGTCCTGCTTTGGGGCTCAGGCTGGCCACATGCCCACAGAAGAGGGGATGCCTCCGATGGTCTTGTCCTACAAATCCCACCCTGTGGGGTGACAGCAGGCATCACACCCTCTGCTCATCTGCCAGACAACTAAGCGTGTGGAGGAGTGGGTCTTGGGGGATGGTGTCAGGAAGATGTCAGTGCCATGAGCAGAACCAGCTGCGATCCGGATGCTCTATCTTCTCTAGTCTGAACCATAGGCTTGCTTTTCTCTTGTGAGTATGAGTTTCAGCGTGGAAAAATACTAAGGTTCCCGACACAAAAATGTTTCATATGAAGAACTTGCTGGAGAGATGACACAACAATCTTAGAAGCAGAGGAGAAACATACACTGAGAGAGGAAACTCTGGAAAGGATTGGTGTTCTCCTCCGGCTGGGGCCGTATGTGGGCTCATGTTTACACTCGCGGGCATGCAGAGGTGGGGTCGGGAGGGGCACACGGAGTGCCGCTGCTGGGAGCGCTCGCCCAGGACCCCCGTCATAGCGGGCTGCCCGTCTCCACAGCACCGCGGCCCGCCAGCCAAGTGCGTGCACGCTCACCCGAGTCCACATGGAATGTGCAGCTGGCTGTCCTGGGCTCCGAAGGCACAGGTTTGAGCCTGGCTCCTCTGCGCCCTGCCTCATGCAGGCTGGCCCTGAGCTGCCCCCACCAGCGGGAGGGCAGAGGGAGCAGCCTCCGCAGGGAGCTGCTTGGGAGAGTCAGCCAGTGCCTCATCACGAGGGTGACCCGAGGCGATCCTGAGGGGAAGCCAGGGCTCACCGAGAAGCATGGCAGGGCTGGGGTGGCAGACTCACGTTACACGCTTGTCGGAGAGACTGACCCTGGTCGTGCGCACCCTCCCGGGAGGGCTGTGCACTCAGAGTCGCCTCCAGTACCAGGCATGGCAGCAGCTGTCAGCCATGGCGCTGGGATGGACACGGCCCTTCCCATGAGCACAGCCATGCAGACCCAGGCAGCAGCTCTTGGCCATGGGACTGGGATGAACCAGGCCCTTCCCATGAGGACAGTTGTGCAGACCCGGGCAGCAGACATCACCTCACCCCTCACTAGTAGGACTGCGGGGTTCAGCCTGAAGACAGCGCTGCCCCACTTGGGGCATCCTCCTGCTGCGCCATCAGAGGACCCGCTGCGGTGATGCCCACACCCCGAGACATCAGCACCACCCACCTCTCCTTGAAATACCATGACAGTCTCTCCCATTCACAATTAGATTTTCATCCAAAACACACAGGAAAACAAGCACTGTGTTATGTCACAGAGCAGACTTAAGTAGGTTCTAATTTTTAAACAAGTAAAAAAAAACCCACCCTGATGCCATGGAATTTCTAACTGTATATGGCCGGGCTTTCATGAGAGGTAAGAAATGAGTTCTTTAGGCTACCCACTGTAACCTATCAAAAGCTAAGGCAAATTTTCTGAGAATTTGTAGCAAGTTTCTGATTAGAGTGTTAGTAACAAACATTTTGAGAGCTAAAGCCTGAAATTTTTTCCTCATCTCAGTCAGTCAGTCACTGGCTTGTCATCTGGGACACAGTGAGACACCCTCACAGCAAGGCTAAAGCATCCTCTCTTTAAAAGGAAAAACAAAACATGAACAGCTTTCATCACAGATGATGCAAAACAAACACACACACACAGCTCAAAACCTGAGAGCGCGTCTCACTTTGGCTCACCTTGCACCATGAGCATGGGCTCCCTGCCCCCGCCGTGGGCCAGCATCTCCCGGCGATAGCGCTCCCCCGCTGCCCTGTGGGGACGGAGTTGTTAGCACACCTTCAGACACCCTCCACACCCCCGAGCCCCCAGAGGAAGCCACATGGATGTCACCGTCACAGAAGCTGCCCTCCATCATCTTCTGGTTTCTAAACATCCGATTCCTATCTTCACCTTACTCTACAGAGACCAGCAGTGATACGTTCACTCTAAGAGGACAACTCTAGTTTTCACTGTGTGTAGCAAGCATGTGCTTTGTAGAAAGGATTGTGTGTTACATATCTCCTCCTCCATCATCTTTAGGATTACTTCAGTGAAGAGGAGAGATTTGAAATCATTTAGGCCATTCTCTCAGCAAAGAATTGGAGATGGCACCCAACAAACAGAAAAATAACAGGGACACAAGAGTGAAGGCATAAAAACGTTCAGGAGAGGCCTTGGCTGTGGTCAGAGACAGTGGGGTGTGGGGACAGCAAAATAGGTAGACTGGAAGCATTTTTACAGACAGAAATTCTCCAAATTAGCGACATCTGAAAACAAATTATTTAGTGCTGAAAGTGAAAGTGAAGTTGCTCAGTTGTGTTCGACTCTTTGTGACCCCATGGACTACAGCCTACCATGCTCCTCCGTCCATGGAATTTTCCAGGCAGAGTACTGGAGTGGGTTGCCATATCCTTCTCCAGGGGATCTTCCTGACCCAGGGATCGAACCCGGGTCTCCCGCATTGCAGGCAGACACTTTTACCATCTGAGCCACCAGGGAAGCCTACTTTTTAAAATAGAAAATGCAAGTCCTTTAATGCAAAATAACTAAAGTTAAGTAAATAATGCTTTCATTCCACTATTTCTGGAGGCTCTTTATGTGGGCGATTTTGCGACTGTGGTCTCTAACCTGGAATGTTGCTAGCATTTCAGCATCAAAAACACGCTGACATCAGATGCTAATCCTGGCTCCGTCCTGAAGGGAGCGCTGGGGTGGCATGCGCCCCAGACAGGACTGTGGGCGGAGGCTGGGGACGGGCAGTGAGAGGCCCGCCTGCCCCGGCCAGCCTCAGCTCTGCTGCCTGGCTTCCAGCCTGGACTTTTCAGAACTGGGACCAAAAAGGATCTTTTGATAGAGCTTAGACATTTTCTAGTCCAATGAGTATTTTTACTAGCTTACTTTTACATGTCCATAAAAATATAGCAACTGCATGTCTAGGCGAGAATGCGTACATAAACAAGGTACAAAAGCTGGGGAACACATGTACTTAAGGATATGCGGTTTTCTAGTAAAGTGTGATTCCTTTAAACAAGAGAGTATTTTGCCTATTTTATATAAATCTTCAGTAAAGAACTATAATCCCCAGAGTTGATTCATGGTATTCAATGTAGGCTTTAGAGCCTTTGAAAGTAATAAAACCTAACCAGCAGCCCAAATGTCCACAGAGGTGCAGAGGGTGGGAGATGAAATAGCATGTGGGCACCGGGCTATAAAACACTTAGAGACTCTATCACATCAGATTCAACTGAGAATGACTATTAACTGCTGAGAAAACTCAAGACTGTGCCAAATGACATGAAGAGCTGAGGGGGGTGGGGTTGGGGGGAGTGAAGGACTAGGGATTAGCAGACCTCATCTTGGTCTGGTTTGTTCACTGTGACACCTTGAACAAATCACCAGCCCCCTCTGAGCCTCTGTCTCCCCTCTGAGAACACTCTCTGCCCCGGATGTGGGACTGACGTGTACCTGCCAGGGGCGGGCGTCTGAGGCCCCCGCCTTAGCCCCACCATCTGAGAGGCGAGGGGAAAGGACGCCCTGGGTGACTGCAAGCCCAGATGGGAATTACTGCTCTGCTTTCAAAGGACGTGACTTCTCGGGACTGGTGAACTGGAACTGGCCTCTCTGGCCCCCTGGGGAGGACGCCCGGCCCACAGTGGCCCAGTTTCCTGCAGGGTCCAGGTGAGCTCTGGGCACCTGGCCTCGGATGCAGGGGTGCGGGCCGTGAAACCCCCCGGGTCCGTTACCTGTTGAAAGGGTCCTGCCGGAAGCACTCTCTCCAGACCATGGACGCCACGGCCCTGGACATCAGGTAGGAGTAGTACTTGGCGCCATAACCCACCAGGTGGCTGAAGCGCAGCTGCCAGGCCTGTTGGACAGAAGAGGCACAGGGAGGGTGAGTCTGCACACGTGTCCCTTCCTCTCGCCCGACAGGGCGGCCCTCACACCAGCACCCTCCACGTCGTCACACTCTACGCCGGGGAGCGAGTCCCCAGCAGCCCGCAGGCTGGGGCCCAATCCCCAGGACCCTGGAGTGAGACCATCTGTGGAGATGGGCCTCTGAAATGAGGCTGTGGGGGCAGCCCGAGGCCAATAAGGCTGGGTTACATGGGTCCTTACGAGACGGGGAGACCGGGGAGGACAGGGCAGGAAGGCGACTGCCAAGAGCCGAGGACAGGCCTCAGGAGAATCGCCCTTACCCCGACTGCCTTGTATAAAGCTCACTGCCACTGGACTCAGGTCAGACACAAACAGGACACCCAGGCTCGTGGCAGGAGCATCGGTCACGAGCTGGACAATGTCCACGATCCTGTCTGGGAGGCCCAGCAGTGACGACAGTGATGCTATCACCGTCAGAAAGGCCAGGGAAGAGCCTCCCCCAGCGACTCCCTGCAAGTGCTGTCTCTGGATGGGAGCTGAAAACAAGGCTCCGCGGCTGCCTGGCAGGAAGCAGGCTTGCTCCGAGGGGCGGCCCCCAGGCACACACAGAGCCACTGCTACTGGAGCCGGTCCTCAGAAGACGCTTCTCTGAAACAAACCTGACCTGCAGGCGTAATCCTACTGTCTCTTCATGGATGCTTCAGCTGACAGGAAAGTTGTTTGAGAGAAAAAAAAAAAACGAAGCCTAAGTTTCTGAACTAAGGTAATCATTGTCTAATAAGTCCTTTCATATCCTGGAAAATAAAGTATGAATTTTCATCACCAGAATAAATGTTTAAATAAACAACTCCTCCCTAATCGACTAAGCTGCAAACAACAAACAAACAGCCCCGTGGTGACAGTGGCGTGGCCGACCTGAGGACACCCCAGCCCTCCCCACAGCACAGGGCCCTTGAGTGTCGCACGTGAGCGCTGCCAGAGGTGGCCTGTTGGGTCACACGCAGAACTGAAATTTCCCTAAGAACAAGGTCCAGGGGCACACGAGGCACTCACCGCTGTCTGTGAACAGCGGGGTGGGCGGACGGGTGGACAGAGGATGGACACCGCAGAGCTGTGTCACAGTGGTTCCTCACAGGCTGGACTCTGGACCGAGACCAGGAGGCCGGCGCCCAGGAACAACACCCACACCACAAGTAAGAGGGCGTCCTGGCACTAGAACACATCAGGATCTCAGGCTGATTCTTAAACACAGCTGGTGTTTTTCTTCCTAAAGAATTCCTTGACTGCACTATATGACAGTCGTTATAAGACTCTGGGGGCTGGCTTTGGCACCAGAGGCCAGGTTTGGACTGTGTATAGCATCTGCGTGGTGTTTCTTCGTGTGCGATTCGGTCTCTGTCAAGCATCGCAGACTCAACAAGCCAGGGGCCAGCAGGACTGCACAGGCGGGCATGCCACGTGCCCCCGCCGTGAGCAGGGCTGAAGGACAGCAAGACCGAGAGCGCTTGTGCGCCAGCCCTATGGCAGCCTTCCCTCCGGGCTGCCCGCCCCCCTGCGCGAGCAGCACTCTGCCCGGGTTATGTCCCGGGAGGCCCAGCCCTGGGTGTCCAGAGCGCCCACCCAAACATGTGGGGACCAGGGGACCCCCACCACACCTGCCTTCTCAGCTGAATATTCTCTATCAATGTGTGTACATGTTTTCCATGAGGTCATACAGACAAGTATTTCTAAAGTCCCCACTGACATTTTACCAAAACTCGTGAAACAGTAATGCCAAACCCACAGGGATTCTGCCTGGAATAAAGTGATTTTAGGAGAAACCCAGCCACCGTGGTGGATGTCCCCTCCAGGCCCCGTCCTCCATGGATGCTTGCGTGGGCCTCCACCCCGTGAGTGCAGGCAGGTGTGGCCATCGAAACTTGGCCAAGGAGCGCGATGTCTGCGGGCTTGTCTCCCGTGGTCGGCAGCCATAGTGGGAAAGCCCGCCTGCAGGGACCCTGCATGATCTGGGTTGGGGATTCGGGGCCTGAGGGCCACGGGGGTCCGACAGCTGACAGCAAGCAAGAAGTCAGCCCCCTCAGTCCTGCAAACATGAGAACTCTGCCAAGAACCCAGGTGGAGCAGGCACGCACCAGGTGAGACCTCAGCCCGGCCAACACCCTGACTGCCACCCAACCCACAGGAGCCGTGAGCTGTGGTTCAGCCATGAGTGCATGGTGATGTGTTAAGACACACACCGATATCTATTTGAGAACAGAGGGCTGGGCTTCCCTGGTGGTTCAGTGGTAAAGAATCTACCTGGCAACGTAGGGGAACGGGTTCAATCCCTGATCTGGGAAGATCCCACGTGCCTCAGAGCAATGCACACAAGCAGTGAGCCTGTGCTCTAGAGCCCGGGAGCTGCAACTGTGAGCCTGAGGGCCTGGGCTCTGCAGTGAGAGGCCTGAGCTTCTCAACTACAGTAGCCCCTGCTGGCCACAACGAGACAAGCCCACACACAGCAACCACAACAGTGCGGCCGTAAATAAAGAAAATGATCAGAAAAAGAACAAAACATTAGAGCTGTGCTCAGAAATACTAACAAGAGAAACAAACTGAAAATTAAGAATGGATACCAATACCTATTAAAGTATATCCATGTGTCTTCATGCAAACATTTTGAGGAAGGTATTTTTACAAATATTTTATAATTTTTAATAGCTTCTATTGTACAGTAGACTCAAAAGCATAAGTGGGTCAAGGCCATGGGCAGAGTCTGCCCAGCGTCCCCACGTCTGCCTTGCCCAGCGGGCCCTGGCCTGCACCACTGCCCCCCGGGTCTCCAGTGACTCAGGGTGGCCGTGCGCCAGCAGTGGGCGTAACTGCAGACCAGGTGCTTCGGAAGCCAGAGGCTCACCCCCGTGACCTCTTTCCCTTCCTGCTCCCTGGAAGAAGCAGGAACCAGACTTACACCTGGGACTCAGGGAAGCCACAAGCTGAGGAGCCGCTGGCCTGACCTGCTCACCTCTGCCTTGCTGGGTTATCTCACTTAACACATTATTGATCTAGGGGCTTCTGCAGAAACTAATGGCTAGGCCCAGCGATCTGTTATTTAAATGAATACTCAAAGACTCTAGTCAATAACGTTTGGGCAACAAAAGACGTGTTAATACGTCTCTGGTCAGTAAGTAGTTAAGTCACTGTTCTGGGGGCTTTGTCGTAGCAACTTCACCTGTACTCCACAGGATGCAGAGCCCAGGGTCCTAATCCGAGCTCCCCACCCACCCCCCAGCTCCCCGTTTCTCCATATTGCCCACGCCGCATTTCTAACTATGGGATGGTCTGTGTTCACAACACATGTGAAGGTTACAGCCACCTGGACTTCAAATCCCACGGAAACTCAAACAGATCCCCATGCCATATTCCCGAGTTCAGACGAGACCCTACAACTTGTAAATTAATTTCTATCCTGTCGGCTTCAACACATATCAAAGCATACCACCCAGCTACTTTTACAGCTAAAAAGCAGAGCCCCTGTGCAGACTGACATCAGAGTACTCCACTATGAGTACACCAGGGTGCTGACACTGCTGGCCCCGGGGTAGGGGTGGTGGGCCGCCTAGAGGTGACGGCTGTGAGAAGCTGAGGCACAGGGACCCTACTTCACGTGGAGCAGCGAGCTAGAATGTTGACACTGCTCTCTGGTATATAAAAACAAAACCCTCTCCATATTACCATAGAAGCCTGAATGATTTCCACAGGACCAGTATCAGAATTTTATAAAGTTCTTAATGACAACTAGAAACCATTTTCTCTGCTAATGGTACGTTTATGGCTCATTTTAAGGAGACTGGACCTAGTCTTCTAAGAAAAAAGTACTCTGAACTACCTAACCAAAATAATAATTCCATTGTCAGTTCTATTTATATATAAATAGAGGGGAAAAGGATCTCCAAAAAAAGAAACAAAAGGTAAAACCCCATGAAAATACCAGTATGTGACTGTCAAAACCAACTCCATAAGCAGAACAAAGACGTAACCAATTCAGATGGAAATGCTCTTATCAGATGAAACATGGAAACATAATGGTGATCTAATTAATTGAGATAACTTAGGTGAATCCCCAAAATTATGAAGATGTCAACAAACAGGTAAAAATGACTAATTACTGACTACAGATACACACCGTCTGAATTTCTGAAGTGAAAAAACAAAATTGAAAATGTTACTAATTTTCATTAACTTTTCCCGGGATCAGGCTGAGATGCATGGGTTACACTGAGCAGTGGGTGACTCAGGGCAGTTAATTCTCAGTCACGTGCTGTCCCTGAAACCTATGAAATCTGGTGTCTACACAGCAAACTCTTCACTTAACTGGCTCCTGCCTATCAGACCACTAACTTTACATGATCTGTACCCAACGGCCTTGGTGTGACTAATTGCTGCTTTGCAAATTTATTTAATTGGCACAGTGACTGATCCCTTCGCATCATATTAAAAGTGCCTGCTATAATCTCATTTGTAGACTGCAGTGGGCTGCAGTAGATATGTGTCTCACTAAGGGTGATGAGATGAGACCTGGTTTCTACAAAGTGAGAACACCCTCCCTGCCCCCGTCCTACCATGCACAGCTGGGGGTCCCCGCCCCCACCCCAAGGGTAGCACGTGCCGAAAGTGCAGCCCAGGGCTCATGATGCCACATCACTTGCAGGCCAGTCCCTGCGTTCATTCTGTAGAGAGTAACTGACATGTAACACATGTGACTGAGCCCACTTCAATCACCCTGTCATCAGTCTTCCCTGATGATCTTGTCTGAAGAATCTCCAACATTCCTGATGTAATAGCTTTTAGCAATTTCTTACAAAAAAAAAAAAAAAATCCTGCTGTATTTATGCTTGAAACATATGGAAACCCCGGAAAATGCCCAACAATGCATATTACCGCAACTCAAAACAAGTGTTGGATAAAAAAAGTCAGCACCTAAACATTATTGGAACTTTTCACATAAAA